GAATAATCCCTTCATATAATGATAGAGACTAACTTTGAGAAGTGAACGGACGATTCGAAAATATTTAGTTCTAAATTTTATGTCATTTTTTGTCTATAGCACTAATGACGTAATTCCTTACATTCACAAAATTATAATGGATTAACTTCTCCCGTTAAGCTGCTACAACTTGGTCACTCTTTTCACAAGATCTTTGATTACACTCAATTTTATCTCAATTTACGTTTTTGGATCAGCCATATTTTTTTAGGAACATTTTTAAAAGGCGTTGCTTGACTGACAAGGTAATTAGGCTTCGCAAATAAATAGGTGCTTGAAAACTTTATTTCTTTGCTTTATACTTTTTTAGCACTTTGCTATTTATGTCGGTTTGTCACTGCAGATATTCTTTATCCTTATCTTAATCAGATAATATTCTTGCTTCATTACGACTTGGTGGCTTCTTCTCCTTGGTTGATCCAGATCATGTATTTATCACTCTTCATGATGCAGTCTTATTTGCACAATATCAGTTACATGAGTCAGGGAATCATTTATGTCAAGTTGCGTCGACATTCCCATCACCGGCAGATATTGTAGTTGTCTGCTCCGATATTAACCTGCCTACTTCATCTCCGAGCTCGTGCTGGTCACCTGAAGTTCCGGATCGCCTTTACGTAATGGCCCAAGTTCATCCTGATCATGCAAAATTTACTATGGCTAATGTCGACAAAGATTCAGCCCAGAATATCTCGGAAGAAGCTAGAGTAGTTAGGAAAAAAGAAAGCATTAAAAATTCTAAATTGTGATGCAGATTAAGGAGAGAGGATAATCAGACCTACAAGCGCTACATAAGGCTCTGTTGGATTTCGAGAGGATCGCAGGGATGGATGAAAAATCGACATCTTCGCTTATTGGCACATGAAACATATTGTGTAGATATGTAACACAGCTTCCGTTTTCACTGTGCCTTCCTATGAAATCGGCTTTTTAACAAAATTTGGAATACTAAAATTGAAAATGACCTATTAGATTTATTTCCAAGAGGTTCAACGTTTTAAACATTGTATATGATAATCAAAACGTAGTGCTGAGGGTATTCATGAAAATCAGACTGTTTTTACATACCTTTCCTTATTTTAATCTGTAAATGTGAGTTTATTTATATATGTGCATATATGCAAATGTATAAACAGATACAGGTGGTTGCAAATATTGAATACGTATCCTTAATAGTGCAACAATACATTTTAGGATGAGCTTACGACTGTGATGGATTTTGTATAAGTTTTTTTTATTTATTTACAAGTATATTTCTTAAATTTCAGATGTCTTTATCTGATATACTTATTTAATTTTTTCGATAAAGTAAATTCTTTCATTATGTTCTATGATTTGTGTGTTTTCAAGTTCTAACTGACATTTTAACTTTTTTTTAGCAATCTTTTATCATAATTATTATCTCAATCATTCCATATACGCCTTTCTTAAGGTAAAATTACATGTAGTTATTATTTTTCACGAACTTTGTCTCACTATTTTTTAAGATTCGAACAGATTCGTTCACTATGCCAATGAAAGTCTTCCATATCAGCTGGAGGACAATGATTCGATTAGTTTTTAATGTGAATATTACTTGCTACATGCCAATTGCCTTTTTTACTCATTAAAACGTTCTGAGCAATTATATTGTCTTGAACCTTTTTTTGGTAACTTTCATAAATCGAGGTAATTTTCTTAGTTTTTTACCTTCAAAGGTAATAAATACTCACTGGTCTGGATAATCAATAAAAACTTTCCAACTTTTATCGCTTTTGATCATTAGTTGATCATATAAAAAACGAA